GCTAAATTAGTAGAACAAGAGAAAAGAGAAATTCTACTAAGAAACTATCTATAGCTAAAATAACTCAAATAAATTGAATGACTTTTCTTGACATGATTAGGTAATTGTAGTATAGTAAGTTATGTATGGCACAATATGTGGTATAGCAATAATCTGTGAGATAAAAGATAAATATAATATAATTATTAATAACTAATCTAATTTTTGTTATAATTTTAATATCTAATAACTTAATTAAATAAAACAAAATTAAAAGTTTTTTTGAAAAATAATTTATTAATATTTATCTGATGTATCAATCTTTTTATACTGGATTATAATTAAATATATAATAATTATTTATATATTCAAAGTGAAATTAATTTTCAATAAAAATAATTCAAAAGATAAAATATTATATAATAATATAAAATAAAAATTAAAATTAAAATAAATATAATTTAATTAATATTATTATAAATATTAATAAATATATATAAAAAAATTTATAATTTTAAATAATTTTTATTAATTATAATAAATTAAATATTAAGTTTTTTATTAATAAATATATATATTAATATAATAAAAAACTAATTATTAAAATTTTAAGTTATATAATTTATAATGTTATAAATATATAATAAAATTAATATACTTTATAAAATTAAAATAATAAGATATTAAATACTATCTTATAAAAATATAATTTTAAATTAAATTTTTTTTATAATATTAAAAAATTAAGTTAAAATTTTATTAAATTATTTTTTAAATATATTAAAATATAATTTTAATATAAATAAATTTTTTAGAATAAAATAAGAAATATTATTATTAAAAATTAATATTTTTAAAATATTTAAATTATAATTATAAATAAATTAGTATATTTATATATTTATAATAAATTAATTTTTGCTATTTATTATATAAAATTTAAATATATAATAATTTATTTAAAAAATTAACTTCAAAACTTAAATAAATATTTAAATTCTATATAAAAATTTTTGCTTTTAATTAGTAATATTATTATTTATTTTAATTTAGATTCTAAAAAAAGAAGTATAATTTTAATATTATTAAAATTTTTAAAATTAAATATAAGTTTTATTATTTAATTTAAAGCTAATAAAATATTAAATCAAGAATAAAAGAAATATTTTAATTATATTTTAATAATAAAGTATTTAAAAAATATAAAAGTTTGTAAATAAATTCTTTAAAATATTCTAAACAAGAATTATTAATAGCACAAGATATATTAGTTTAATAAAATATTATAAAATTTTGTATTAATATGATGAATTAGATATTTACATAAATAAATTTGAAAAAAAATTATCTAAAAATATTTTTAATAAGTAATTTTAAAAATATTTTTGTAAAACTATATTTTAGAATATAAAAAATAAATTTGTAGTTTTAAATAAATTTTTTATTACATATTTATTTAATAAATACCAGTTAAAAAAGACTTATTTTAATAATTTTTAATAGTATAATATAATTAAAATAGAATTTTTATTATAATTTCTTATGAAAATTATTAAATAAATGTGTAATAAAAATTTTTTGTAAACTTACAAATATAGATTTTATATCTTAAAATGTATTTTTACAAAATATTTTTCAAAATTGTTTATTAAATATGTTTAAATAATTTTTTTCAAAGTTATTTCACCTAATTATCATATTTGATACAAAATTTCGCAAAATTTTATTAAGCTAGCATATCTTGTGCTATTAGCAATTCTTGCTCAGAATATCCTAAAGAATTTATCTATAAAATTCCATATTTTTTAAATACTTTGTTATTAAAATCTGTGAATATGTTCATTATTATTAACTTTTATCCTTGATTATATACTTTAATTTTTTTATAATTTCCTATTTCTATTTTTCAATTTAAATACAAAATAGATATTAAATAGGTGATAAATTATATAACTGAAAGTCAAAATACTGTAAGTCACAATACTCTTGTCAATTATCAAAAGTTTATCAATAATAAAAAATGATGAGCTCATCTTATTCAAATATAAAATTATACTGATTTGTTAAATTATAATGATTTAATACTATTCTTCAAGAATTATCTATTACAAGTAATTCCAATGTTACTATGCTTATTATTTTAATAAGTAGCTTTTTTCATAATATTGATAAGACAACATCAAGAAGTTTAACAAATAAACAAATTCTTATAATTGTTCAACAAGAAACAAGGTTAAACTAAAGAAGAATCATCAGTTATATTTACATAACAAGCACATAATGCTTTACAAACTTGAATAGCTTTTTTTTTTGAAAAGAATCTTTTGGATTTTAATATGAATAATATTTTAAAACTATAGTAAAATTATAAATATTATTCAAAAAATGATTTTTTAATTACTTATTATTACTATTTGAAAATATCATTATATATATAAGCAAAAGTACATAGTCACACCATCTAAGTGATTCTTCTTGGGACCATAGTAAAAACGCAAAGTGTACATTTAGAGAGAACAGATTATATCATGCGTGCACTTAAAGAGAGTGCATTTAGGGAAGTGCGAATGTATAATTAAAATCTATAAGGAGTATAGGGGGTATATGTATTATGACGAAGTTAAAAGTTATTATAATAAAAGCTTTATTAATTGAAAAAATGACTTGATACATTCATAAAAGCACACAAATTAGATTCAATTTAACACAAAAATCGTAGTACATGTATAATGAACCATTTTGGAGTGAAATGATCAATGCATACGTGGAACATAAAATAGAATTTTTGAGAAGGTTGAGGTATTTGGACGACATTAAAAATCTTAGCGATCGATCGTAATCGCATAAAATACCATGTCTAGACGAATCGAACAATCAGATATTGCACTTCGTCACAATATACATGTACATGTACATGTATACCTAATTCGTCATAATACTCTGATCTCTCTTATCGTTATCGTTATATTTTTGAATTACCAAATTTGTTATAATTCTTTTTGAAAGTCTAACTTGAAGATATGACATTGCAGGAGATCAGCACTCAATATTATACAGCATAAATTAACCTGAATTTATTATTAAACTAATACAATTATTTGAAAATTCGTATATTAATCAAAAGAATATATTACAGGAAAGGTGATTATTGAATAAGTAGATAAATTAAACTATAACGAACCATCACTCAACATTTCCCAATCATCAGGAACATCATCTTCACTTCCAGCAAAGAAGCCTTTGTAATAATTTTGGGAAGGTTTTGTTTGACTGGAACTCGAAGAAGCAACCGACTGTTGATTTTGTTGTCTTCTAGACATCCAAGCATTTGACAAAGGTCGCGATGCAGTTTGTTTCAAATTCGCGGAGCTGTTATTCTCCGACGAAAGAATCTCGAATGGATTTGTGTTACCAATTGGAGGTTTAGGCGGGAGCGTAACAAGAGGTGATTTTGCTTCGGCATCGCTTCCAGATCCTAATCCACTAACATTCCCAAGATTATTAATAATTTTTCCACGCTCACGCCAAACAACTTCGAATTTAGAGCTGACCCAACAAAGTTCAACCCATGCGCATATAGCCTTTGGTACAAGAGCTTCTTTTGCCGAATATTTAAGACGCATTAACAATATCTCGAGTTCGTCCATTTGCATCGAACCAACGTATGGCATTATTACAGCATCTTCTTCAGCCACCCATTTGACCATGAATTTGAATCGACCCATGATTGGTTCAATTTCTTTTTGCAGTTCTTCACGGGTGATCCCAAATGCTAATTCAGCAAGGTAAAGTCCGTTGACTGGCTGTTTTGGCTTTCGGACGAGTTGTTCAAGTGTTGAAGAGGAGGCAGAAGGAGATATTGTAGAGGATAAAGTTGTGCTTCCACTTGCAGATGCATTACTTGCTACTACTTGGGCGAGAGTGTACGGAGGCCTAATATGGTAAATATGGTTAAGCAGAGCTAAATATCAATCAATCCGTATATTAATAAACTATAATTGCTTACATTATAGAGTCGATCTTCTTTTTAATATATACGCTTCGATATGGTTCTTCGTCAAAGCTTTCAGAGTGTAGCCTATATATTGCACATAAGTCGTGTATAAATTGACGATGAGGTGCTTTCATCGGCTTAAGATCTAAAGTTTGTTTACTATAAAATAAAATCAGTATCAATAAATATTATTTTATGCAATAACTCATTTTTTACAATTATGTTAAAAAAATTTACTCTGATTTCATGAAATCATTGATTTGAAATTCAATATTTTTTGCCCAATCTTTATGAGCTGTATAGTATTTGAGAAGCTCTTCGGAATATTTAGGAACATATTTCAAGCTGGAATTTTCACCCGTCTCAATTTCTAATGCTTGAGCTACTCGTCTATTTCTCTCCAACATAGCACAATAATCGGTGCATTGGAGCACTCGATTTTTATTTTCAATTGAATTTTGAGAACTCATAAAGCATGTAACTTCTTGTTTTAAGTTGCCACATTTGCAAGTGAGTGTAACTTTTTGTTGGCAAGGTATGTCTTCTGGACATCTGGCAGGTGCGTGACAAGCAGCAGTGCAAGGATGACCGCAAAGATTTCGAGGTTTCCCGCATGGTTGTGTGCACTTTCTAGTGACACCCTGTTCATTAGTGAGACAATCGCCAGAATGGCAAGTACGTTTGCATCGATGACCTCCACATGGTGCGATGCGATCGCAAATTCGACCACAACTGACATTTGATTTATGACAAGGAACATTTTTTATCGCTGATCGTCCACACATGCACATTTTTTCAACAAAGTAAGGACATGGGGGACATGTTTGAGAATCTGTATGACAAGGATGAGCCACTCCAGCATGTCCACAAGGAGGTTCTCGTATACAAGCATGAGGACAAGGCGGTACTGTCATGCCACATGGTATTGGCGGAAATACTTTTGTTCTACCACAATGACATGTCAACTCTTCAAACGATGCCTCTAAACATGGCAAACAATGCCCACGATGACATGGCAATTGACAATTATGATTGCCGCATTTAAGTCTCTTATCACATACAAAGGTACATCGATGATTTTCATCCTCCTCTTCTGGCTCTTGCCCAAACATAATTTTCTTTCGTGGTTTGTTGGCTGAAGGACAGCAACGAACATTACATTGATGTTTACCACAGCTGCGAAGTCCTTGACATATTTTATCGCAAGTCGGTAATTCGTCACTTTCTCGATTTATTTCTGAACACTTTCGTTGAACTAATGTACTCCCACATCGACATCGAACTTGCAATATCACCTCACAAGTTGAACATGCCCCTTGATGACAATTATATTGACAAGAATGGCCGCATGGCAGCAATTTCGGGCACTTATTCTTACAGGTTGGGATTTCGTCTGTGCATGAAGTACGTTGTCGTCCGAGCAATGAAACAATTGAATTTTTGCCACATGGACATGTCTCAATCCTTGATGGCTCGTATGGACAAGATTCCAGCTTTCTATCGACTGGATGACAAATTCGTTCACAGCGATGTTTTCCGCATTCCAGAAGTCTATAAAGAAACAAAATTACTATATTTGTCTTATTCACTTTAAATAATCCATTTATATATGATAAATTTCTTACCTATCACATAATTTTTCACATTCGAAATGACCGAACCAATATTCACGGTCACCTTCACGATTGGATATACTTCTAGAGACATTTCCTTCACCGCAAGTAGTTATGCGTTCACTCTTTCCACAATAACACAATTGTGTCTGCATTTCAGTGCATGTATTACAGGGACCACCATGACATGGTTTTTGACAATAATGAGAGCCACATTCTAACATCCGTCCACATTTTTCACCACAAGATAATTTTCCGACGTAGTCAGTATCAACACAACGTTTTTGAAAAGTTTGAAGACCACACCAACAAGTTGTCCTTGGTCCCATTGCACTACATGGTGGACATGGTCCTGGATGACATTGCAATGTGCAATCATGTGGACAGTCTCTTGATTTTTTGCAAGTTTGCCCGCATGTGTGTGGTGTTAGATACCGATTAATCTCGGGATCGCGTGTTTTTCCTAAGTATCTTATAAATTTAGAATATATTCGAGAAAATTAACTATTAATAAGAAAAACTTACCGCAAAAACACCAATAATCACGAGGAATAGAATAATAATCACTTCTACATCCTGGACAACACCACAAATTATTTGTGCTCTTATTTTCTGTAATCGACTTCTTTGCCCATTTTTCTGTACATTGTAAATGGAGTACCACCCAACACACATTACAAGACCAAGTTCGATGTTTCGGAAGAATAAATTCGAAGCAGATCACACACTCATAAGTGGATGTTGTAAGGCCGTGTGTTATGGACGTGAGAACATCAGTGATTTCATTTTGTGACATTCGCATTATTGTTGCCCGTTTTGAGCGAAAGCTGAAATTCTTACTTTTCGATCGTGGATTTTTAGAATTCGAAGCGAAATCATTCGAAGAGGATGATTGAATCTCACGAGCTTTTCCTTTGGTATTGACCGGTAATTGTTCGCCAGCTTCTGAGTTCGCGGATTCTAATCTATTGTTTCTTGCTTGATTAATTCGCTGTCTAAATCGATGGCGATTATTATTGCTATTGCCAGTGTTATTATTATTATTATTATTTGAGCTAGTTTCTGAGTGTTCCTGTTCTGCATGCTCGCTCTGCGAAATCTCTTGTGCATTTTTTTGTTTTTGCTGTCCAAATCTAGAGAAGTCACTTGTAGAAGAATTAGAGAGATTCGAACTTCCTGCTAGGTCATTGGAATCTGCGTTCTCCGCTTGTTGCTGAGAGCGCTCAACATTGTCCCTATTTCTGCGAGGTCTCGACTGTTCGTCTGAATTACGTGGCCGTCTGTTATTTCGACGAGAATCTGTACTAGCAGTCCTGTTATTACTGTTGTCATTTATTTGAGAACTATTTGTACTACTAGAATTGTTTTCGACATTGTTGTTATTGTTTTCATTCAATATGCGTGAATTCGACAACGATCGATATCTACTACCGCCGCCGCCTCGCCCACGAAAACTGTTATAATTACCACGGCCACGGCCACGGCCACGCGCACGACCGCCTCTACTATATCCTCGAATTCCATGTCCATAAAATGATCGAGTATTATTGTTATTAGAATTCTCTCTCGTATTTTGTGCGTTATTGTTATTGTTATTGTTGTTATTAGTATTTCCACTAATCGCTGTTATAGATGGTGAAACTTGTTCTCTTGAATCACCTTCACTCATACTTTATTGTAAGTTTAGAAGTAGTTTTAGTTAAAAGTAGATACAAGAATCTGATCTGATTTTATACAAAAAGATATAAATCAGTGTTTTACAAAAGGGATAACAGGTTTTGTTGTTGAGAACAGCGGTCATATTTATACTGCGGAAAATTAGTAAAATTAGTAATAAAAAAAAGGCGCAGTTATTTATAAAATGATTATTGTCGTGCATAAATGGAATAGCGGATTCTAATCGGATTTGCCATCAAAATAAGCGGATTCAAATCAGATTTGTCATCAAAAATAGAGGCTCGAATTCCAAGGTTACACGTGCTGTTAATAATCGAACACAGCATGAACAATTTTCGATCCGATCGAAAAACGTAACGGAAACGTATCGATATGTCATTAATCCCAACACAATTAAAAGAACCAACAGCAATTTATTCACTTTTATTCACATTACTATTATTCATCGTGTCATTTGTCGTGGCATATAATTTTCTATCGCGCGAGAAATTCAAGACATCAGAGAAATATGTGTTTATGTGGTTAACGTGGGATGCGTTGGTGCATTTAATCCTGGAGGGGTCATTTGTATACATGTCGATTTTAGGACGAACAGTAGAGACTAGTTCTGGTCCAATGGCTGAACTATGTAAATGTCATCTTTAACTTTAATTATATGAGAATGTCTTTATCTTTAATTATAATAATAATAATATATCCCTGCATAGGGAAAGAATATGGAAAAGCCGATTCCAGATGGTTAATCGCAGAGCCAACAGTAGTTTCAATTGAGATTCCCACATTTATACTATGCGGTCCAGTTTCCGTGTTAGTTCTATGGGCAATAACGAAAGACCATCCCATTAGACATCCTCTACAATTCCTTTTATGCACTTGTGAATTGTATGGAGGATATTTAACTTGGATGCCGGAATATTTGACTGGAAATAAGTCCCTTGCCATCGATAATCCTCTTTACCTCTGGGTTTACATGGTGGTATGTACATGTACTCATTTTTGGATTCAATCTTTGGTTATTCGGTAAATTTTAGTTATTGAATTTTTGTAGTTATTTAATGGTCTTTGGGTTCTTGTCCCTACATTTTTATTGGTTCAATCTTGGTATGAATTACTTCGTGGTGCTGAACTTTTGAGTCAACATCGGCAAGCTAAAAAATCATTATGATTCTGAAATAAGGGGGATTGATATTTTTTTATATCTTCATTTCGAAAATACATATATGTATGGAGTGTCTTCTAGGTATAAAAATATAACTACAATGTCAAAAATATTATAAATGTATCGATATACTTGCGAATAATTATAATGATACGTAGCAGGTGATTGTTCAGTACAAAGGGAGTGAAGTGATTTATTAGATTATGTATGTTATCAAAAATTATTTTTCAGTGCCAACTGAGGCCACCATATTGAGGTACC